GATAAGCACTATCATCTTCATCATCGTCATCATCTTCATCATCGTCATCATCTTCCTCATCGTCATCATCTTCATCATCGTCATTATAAACATCTTTATCATCATCACCACCCACTTCAACGCAGTGGTTATCTCACAATAACATCCTTGTTATACAACTGATGTGTGTGCTTGTGTATGTGTGTGCGTGTGTGTGTGTGCATGTGTGTATGTGTGCGTGCGTATGTTATCCAATGTTGAGCAGTAAAATGCCGTCTGTAAACACGTACAATGTCGGAAATAAAAATGTACGTGATTTCGCACACATACTCACACACATACACACACACACACACGCACATACATACATTCACACATACATGCACACATACATGCATTATGTGTGTAGATAGATACGATGTTTCCAAAGACTGGCTGTTTGTTTACATTAATGTACGTGTGTTTAATAACTGTTATACGTAAAAAATGCCTGCGTATGTTTATTGAGCGTTGTTAATACGCAGTGGCGTAACTGTTTGTAAGTTAATGCATGGGTAGGTGTGTCTGTTTGTGTGTATATATATATATATATATATATATATATATATATATATATATATATATATATATATATATATATATATATATATATATATATATATATATATGTATATGTGTGTGTTTATGTGCAGATGTTTGTTTGTGTGTCTGTCTGTGTGTATGCGTGTGTGTCGATGACCACTCAGTTAAGTGACATTGCCCGCAGCCAAATGACATCATCAATATGTTTCATCAGTCCTTTCATCATTTCATTTTTATCTGATGGCCCGATGGATCTCAGAAGCACGACAACTCAATAATGATTGGTTCTGTGTGTCTGCTTTCAACATTTTTTGGAGGGATATAGTTTATTTATTGTTTTTCAAAGCTTCAATAAAATTCACAAAAAAAAATTATTTTTATAATTTTCATTATTATTGTTAACATTATCAAAATATATATATTAGTTAAGTTACTTCGTTTGCACCTTATAAATAACACAACAGAATGCAAAGCTTTCTTGTAACGAAAAACGAAATAACATTCTATTGCACTAATAGCATCAACATTACATCAACGTGGCTGCTTACATTATATTACAGTACAATACATTAGATATATTGTAAGGTACCTGCTCACATCACCATCAATAACGTTGCATGCATTACATTGTTGCTTCAATGCTTGGTTGTTTGGCTGGCTGGCTGGCTGGCTGGTTGGCTCAGCAAAGAAAGGTAGACAATGTCGAAGAAAATGAATGAATGTATGAGTGAATGAATGAGGTAATGTGTGTATGAATAAACGAATACATGAATGGGTGGGTGAATGAATGAATGAATGAATGAATGAATGAATGAATGAATGAACGAATGAATGAATGAACGAATGAGTAAATGAATGAGTAAATGAATGAGTGAATGAATGAGTGAATGAATGAGTAAATTTAATAAACGGACGAACGAATGAATAAATGTATGACGTATGTAAATTGTATGGTATTATATTCTCGGTATTGTATTGCAATAACATTAATATATTCAATTCGAAATACTTCTACTTATATAAATTATGAATAGTGTATGAGAAAATTATTAGCCTAAAAATTTTTTTCAATAAATTAAACAACGGTCTGAATGTTTATGTGTGTGTGTGTGTGTGTGAGAGAGAGAGAGAGAGAGAGAGAGAGAGAAAGAGAGAGAGAGAGAGAATGTGAGTGAGTGTGTGTGTGCCAATAAATCAACGCGACCAAACATTAAAAATTATAAAAATAAAATATTTTTTTCCCTGAAGCACCAGCAATACGATAGACGATAACAATCGCACATAATTGAATGATAAAAAGGATGGATGGATGAATGAATGAATTAATTAATGAACGATCGAACGAATGGGTAAATAAGTGAATGTATGAGTGAATGTATGAGTGAATGAATGAATGAATGAATGAATGAATGAATGAATGAATGAATGAATGAATGAATGAATGAATGAATGAATGAACGAATGAATGAATGAATGAACTAACGAACAAACGAAGGAAATAATTGTAAAAAAACGTTACAAACTTCTTTATTATAAAACTTCCACTATTTAGTAATTTGGTAAAGTTAGTTGTGTGCGTGCATACAGTGTCCGCTTAGCTCCACCTACACAAACAAAATACAAACGAGAGTAGAAGGATCCAGAAATATCCCAACAATTTTATATTATAGTTATAATAATATATTAATAATAAACAACTATACAAACGCAAGATTTAAGTTTTATATATATCTCATATTTTTATAAATTGTATATAATATAATAATATGATATAAATTAATCTTCTATCGCAGCCATCACAACAACAATAAATGATTTGGTAAACTGTTTTCCTAATTTTTTATTATTATTTAAATTTTCATATTTTAAATAAGATAAATAAACATACAAATAATTTAACTTTTTTTATGAGATGAGAATAATTCCAAATTTATAAATGAAGCAGCATTATATTAGCAAATCAATAAAGTAGAATGAAACCGAATCAGCAATAACAAGAAAGTCGTCACAGAATGACAACGTACCTTCAAGCTTATATTTATTAACTCTCACTCACCGTTACCCGTATACATATACACTACATATATTACATATATACATTTATTACATACTTGTATGTGGTGTATATGCGTATAGATACATTCATATAACACACATACATAATATATATACAGATATATGTATAAAGTATGCACAAACACACATAAACATACATTATATATATATATATATATATATTTACACGTGTGTTTATGTTTTTTAGTGAGTGTTCATGTTCATTTAAAAGCATATGTGTCACCTGTCACCGCCAAATTCAATCCAAGTCATGTTAGGCACACAAACCGAAATAATTCCCATTATATGCAACAAAAAAGCAAGAACTTCGTTAATAATATATATACAATAAAAGAAATATAACAAATGAATGAGTGATGATGGCCGAAAAAGACAGCCACTTGACATCTGTGTGAGATTAAAAAAGCCTTAATACTCTTGTTACATTACAGTTGACTCAGGTCAGGTGCGTATACACAAGTACATTGTACATACATCTTATGTACGCATGCTTAAGTACATTTGTAGTACATTGTACACATGTGTATTTGACTGCTCAATAAAATAATCTTCCCTTTTAATTCTTCGTAATTTGATATCTTGGCCTCTTGTTCAATGCTATTGTTTTTAAGAAAAGTATATTTTAATGCATATAAATAAATAAATACGCATATACACTATATACATGCCTATTATATATATACTTGTAACTATACCATTTAACAAATGTTCATGGACAACCGAATAAAAACCTGTACAAATATCGCATACTTCATTTAAATGTACCCACAATAATATTCACACATACTTACGCACACAAAACCATGACAAATTTTCACAAATATATATATATACATACACACAAACAAGCGTACAAACACAGAGAGAGAGAGAGAGAGAGAGAGGAGAGAGAGAGAGAGAGAGAGAGAGAGGTTAGAATGATGTAAATATTAAATTGAGTGGTGGGACAGGTGTTCTTGTAACCAGCTAGGGAAAAGTAAATTCTGATAAATTCATGAATAATTTATAATTTGTGATTTAGAGATATATAAGATAATGTTCAATTTTATTAAGTTTAATAAATAATAGTTTATTTTGTTAACTGTATTTGTAGTAATTTTTGGCTGACTCGTAAAGGTTCGCTATATAGTTTTAACATGGTAAATCACTGTAATGAGTTGAGGTAAAAAATATTTGGCCCTTATTTATTTTTGGGGCTATGTCAAAATGCAACACAACGGGCTATTTGGCTTCTTTGGATTGTTGGCTTATTGAGTTACTTAACGAAATTGCATAGGTTTTAACGAGCAAGCTGTATGAAATATTACTTGACTTAGTATGTCTAAAACAATGTAGTAATTTTATTTAATTTTATTTAATTTTATTTTAATATAAATTAATATTATTAAATTGTTTTTGTTAATTTGAATATAGAAATTGCTTTTTGTCCAATAAAATCCACAATGGCTTACTGAAGCCATAAGTTGGCTTACTAGGATTGAGCTATATTTACTCTTTTTTACCCTATTCGACCATGTTAAACTTTTGTTTGCTTATGAAATAAACTGTGTATATATGAGTTACATGGAGTTATATAACTCTATGCAACTCTTATATAGAGTTATATATCTCTATGTAACTCATATATAGAGTTATAAAACTCTATGTAACTCATATACAGTTATATAACTCTATTTAATTAAGTTAAATTGAATTAAATAAAATTACTACATTGTTTTAGACATATTAAGTCAAGTAAATATTACATATTGCTTGCTCGTTAAAACTCATGCAATTTCGCAAATAAGCCAAAAAAGTCAAATAGCCCGACCCATTTTTTCCCACCAAATTGTATTTTTTAAAAGTGAAATAGTTGTTCGGACTGCCATTCGGAATCAGAAAGTTATTTATTTAATAAATAATTGTAATAAAAACTAGCGAAATTTAATAATTATCAATTTGAGAACATTTTTTGCCCCACCGATGTCTTCTTCGATCACTCCAATCCTCGCTTCCAAACTTGGCATCACATCTGATTCTGCGAAAAAGTAGTATTTATTTATTACTTTGTTTATTTTTATTTATTTATATAATATTTATTTTATAATCATCAAACAGTGTTAGTTCCTCTTATATATGGATATGCCATTTTTTGTTGTTTATCAAATTAGATTTAAATTTGATATGAGATTATACAATTTTCAGCAGTTATTACAATTACCATGCATATTTATTATGTATGTATTACAATTTGTTATATTTAACAGTTAAATTAACTGAATATAATAAATATAATATTATATATATTATATATAAAATAAAATAAAGTCGATTATTTACTTTAAATAATTAGAAATACATGTGAATATTGATTTTTCTACAGAAAAGCAGATGAACTAATAAGACTTGCAGAATTAAAGATGAAGAGTAGTTCTTTGTCATCATTGAATCTTTCCAGCACCTCTATTGCTGTCATGTGTGTTGATTTGGCTTCAACTGCCTCCTCTCTACATCTTGACAAGGTTTTGTTTCTTATTTGCTTTTTAAATTTTTTTAAAATTTGAACTTTTTTAATGTTTAAATCATTTATTTATAATTTATATGAATGTTTTTATTCATTCACCTACCATACATTTAATATTGAATTTGCCATATAGTACAATGAAAAGTAAAAATTAAATCAATTAAGGATAGAAAATTCTAATTTCTTCCAATTTCTTTTAAAGATTACACCTATTTGAATGATGAACTAAGCCATTTTGTGTTGTTGAACATTTGAATTCTCTCTTTTTCATTTTTTTGCTTATCTCAAGCCTCACTTAGACCTATATTCTGATTAATGATTGGTAATCATTTGACATTTTTTACTTCCACATTTCACGGTTTGGATATCATGTTGAAGCTGAGTCTCAATATGTCATTAATTCCTCACACTTTGATTTCGCTATTCCTAATTGGTTCATTTAATTTGTTCACAAAATGGCCACACAAACTTTCTTTATCTAATTTTCTATGTTTTTTCTCATTCACTGTGTTTCAAACTATGTCATAGTACTTATTGAATCTGTATGAAATAATCATTAGAGTGTTTTGGCTATCTATCGTGTTATGTTTAAATTTATTAATTTTACTCATTGCCGCTAATTGTATGATCTCTGTTAACAAATCAAAACTTTGCATGTCCCTTCAAAAACACACACAGACAATGGCTATAAAACTGAGTGGGTTGACCAAGAAAAGTTACACAACAGCCATAAAGATCCTGCAGCAGATGTTGAACATGAAGCAGGACATGTCCATCAGCAACTTGTCCATTCAGTTTGGCTGCTCAGAAGCCAAACAACTGGCCATTAATATTTTCAAAAGGTTGTTCTGCTTACACCTTTATTAATTCATCTTGTTTTATCATTTTTAATTAGCTGAAACAGATTTTTAAATTTATTTTTTATTATTTTTAAAGTTACCAAGACAGCCAGCAGAATCTAGATTTGAATGAAATGAATGTTGGTTTATTCAATTGTGCTTCCCTCTATATATCTTGCAGGTAGAATTGAATTCAACATTGTTTTGAATCAATCAGTTTCTTCATTACATTCCATGTAAATTTTTTGTTGATGAACATTTGCCAAAGGAAGTTGAAAATAAAAGTTGACAGAAGAAAGATGATAAGTTATGTAGGCGTGCAGGCATCTGTTTTCAACAGGCTTGTGGAACAAATGGACCCCGTTGCTACAAACATAATGAGAATAAAAGGCAGTTTACTTTTTTATCTGTGTTTTTTACTTATTGTTTTTTCAATATTTTCAACTATTCTCTCTTTTGCTGTTATTGCTTTACGACACACAAAGAATATACATATTTTACATGAGCACATCAGAACAAGCACTACCTAGACCTTCAGTGGTCATTTCGTTAAATGAAACATCTTCATATATTAATGACATGAGATTTTGTAGTGTTTGATTATTTTCCGTCGCAAAGTTTAGTCATTTAATGCTCATTTAAGAACCATAACACAAACAGATGGCATCAGCAAAGGGTCTGATGACTTTTCAAAATCAATTACTCAAGACATAGAGGAGAAATCAAATGGCAGTTAGTTGGAGTGTTACATCATATTTTGTAACTTTTGCATGTTAGCACTTTATAAAATTGAATTAATTTTCCTGTTTTGGTGCAGTTTGATGATTTAAAAAAAAACTCATTTTGACGCATAGCAGATTAAACCTCTCCACAAATTACATTAAACAGAAGTTGATATGGGATCCAAAAATGAGGGCAAAGCAGCTAGAACAAATCACAAAGAGACCTCCGAGGAACCGTTCCACGTTTGGAAGGAGAGGATTCTTAGGAAAGCCAAAGAGGCATTAAATGCTGAAAAAACTTGAACATGTTCAATTGTTTTTTATTCACACCATAACTATAAAAACTATAGCGTGATTATATCTAGTTTTATTTATTTTTTATTCATGACCTAATTAAACATTCATTTTTATTGAACTCTTTTTATCATATTTGAAGGCTTTTTTGCTTTTTGTTGATAAAACTTCAAAGACGATGCCTTGATGACGATGCTAGAAAACAGGCATATTAAAATTTGGTGACGATGTTTGGATGATTAAGTTCCGCTTGGTGGCTGGTATAGTGATAACAAGCTTAGATCTTATCGAACCACTTTATTCGACAAAAGCAGAAAAGATAAAATTTTTGTTTATTCATAATTAACGCCATCATCATTAATTATGGAAAACTGATGATTTTGATTATTGAAACTCAATATGGCTTGATACCTAACAAGCAAGAAGTCGAACTAAAAAGAAATTGAATTCATGACAGACACGTGGATACTAAACATAAAACAGGAGCTAGACTGTTAGTAATTAAAAATTGAACATGCAAACATTTTATAATCGCGAAGAAAAACGTTTTACTCGAAGTTTTTGCATTGAGACTTTAATTCACTATATGTTTATTTTACTAGTTTTTAAAAATTAAACTAATGAACACATATTCAACACAGTTAAATAGTTTATTATATATAAAAGCCATGTTTAGATTTCTTTAATAAGCTGAAAATAAAGTTTAAAAATAACTTTTAAAAGCAGTTTCTCGTAACCTAAAGCAGATTTTTATTTTAAAATTCTTCCATTCTTTCTTGAGAATCATTAAATTAAATTATCGACAATAAATATTAAATTCTCTATTCAATTTGAAGTTTTATAAAAAGTCTTTAAAATTATTCTGCAAACTACCAACCGAATTGGAAAAAATAGTAACCAAATTAGCAAAGAACATAGCGCAATGCAATGCAATAGCTTAAATAGTATTAATTAAACTGTCATTACACATACGCAGCGGTTGACAAGCTGACTCTAAATTTAAATTCCAAGATGATTAAACAATTTATTTTTGATTGAAAATTCTACAAAATAAACCACCAAGCAAGCAGTGAAGTAAGCGTCTACTAGCATTAAACATGAATAAGGCAACGACTCATGAACATATCTGCATGTTTAATGTCAGTTAGAAAGTGCAGTGGAATAAATTGAAGAAACCCATCATCTATATGTCTGTTATCTCAGCGATGCACGTACAAATATCTTTTGAATGTACATAATGTTTTATTCAACTAAATCATAATCCTGTTGTATACATACACTACACATATCAAACCATATATGTAGATACAAATTTATATAAATACATATCGTATGTATATGTACATATATGCATACGTAGATACGATATATATATATACCTTAAATAGTATGAATTAACACCAAAAAAGAGCTAATATATATATATATATATATATATATATATATATATATATATATATATATATATTTATTTAATAACCCAATTTGATTGTCATAACATGAGAATTTTGTTTAGTGTTATATTGCTACACAAATAAACCAATGCACACATTTTCAGTCAGATGTGTATTTATCTCAAAGCATGATTTTAGTATACCAGCAATTAAATTATGTTAATGAACTATCTACCAAAATAAATATAATTAAATAATAATTGTTTACAATAATTCAACGTGTACATTATTGGTGAATTGATAAAATCAACTTCATGATTTATGGACAATATCTATATTACCTTCACAAAGAAATGTTATAGAAATCAGTAGTCCATAATTTGTATATTACGTACATACATACATACATATGCACATAACAGTAAAACTGACAATGATTACAACAACAATAAAAGACTTGGAACATATTAAAATGGTTTGTTAGTGCTCACCAAACAATATACAGCAGCAAAAAATGTAATGATGATGATAAAGCAGAGATGATGAATGAGATGATAATGGGTTATAATAATTATAATAATAAATAATAAAGTTATAATAATGATAATAATAAATGATAATTATAAATGTACAACACAATCTACCAAGACGTGTAGAATGCCAGCAGCACAAACACAGCTTAAATTGTATACGGACTTTTTATACATTGGGTAAACAATTTCAAAATTAAAAATTATTTTAACTTTCATGTAACTCATTATGACCACTCGTAAAGATAAAAATAATGCAATTTAAAATTAAATCAGCTACAATGAAAAAATTGTTACAAAAATAAGCTAAAAAAAAATTAAACAAATTGTAAAAGTGGTGTTGACTATGAAGTTAACAATATGATAAGCTGTTATAAATATAATGATATGAAGTTATGAAATTTGAAATTATCAGTTCGAAATTGTAAAAAACAAAGCATGCCATAATTCATTAAAAAATATAATAAATAATTAACACATGCATGCACACGCACAAGCGTATACACACAGACACACACACACACAGTAATATTTAAAAAGTTACAAAAACATATAATGGACCTACCAGTGTAATTATGTATATGCGCATTTTTACACATTTTTACATTTTTACGAATGACAGTATAAACATAATTTAAATTAAAATTATTTCAACTGCTTATTAGGTGAATCATCTTACTAAAATCATAATTTTCCATCGCAAAAAATAAAATTCATGTCTTTATACATACTGAACTCGAAAAATAAGTTTGCAAAGAAAACAAATTTAAAGAAACTGAATCACCTTCACCTCACTTCACCATAAGAAAAAGAAATGTAGTTCAAAGTGAAAAGATAGAAAAAAGTATGGAAAAATCTAAACTCTGTTAAAACCAAATGATAATAATAAATCAATAAAAATTGCTGCCTTGGCTAGTAAGGCTTAAAATTAAATAAATTTCATAATAAAGTATTCTTTGAACATTGTACAGTTCTGTAGACATATAAAACAAAACTCTGAACATCAGCAAGCTGTATATATTAGCACGATTAGAAGATTCATGTATGTGGATGTAAACAACACGAAAAAATAAAAATTCATCAATATGATTTCATTGTCATTTTAACGACACTTTAAACTATTTGCAGGTTACAAATTAATCTAAATCATTGCATTGCATTGCAAAAGCAATTATTAAACAAATAGCTCATGTTTAGTAAAAACTGTTACACACAAACAATGACAAAGCAGAGCCTGCAAACTAATACAAATGAATGAATGACATATTGAAATGTTATAACCTTAACTTCGAAAAAATTTGGAAAATTTCAATTACTTCCAATATTGTTAAGTTAAGATGACGAAATTTTGCAAGTTAGACAACACAATGACAAGAATAAAAACAACTTTGTCACTTTAATGAAAACATTACACAAAATTACAATACTACACCTTCTTGTGAAATTTATATTACATTACTTACAGACACCTTACAAAATTACATTAGTTATTATAATTATATTAATTATTCATTATAACATTATAACTGTTATACAATAGTACATCCCTTGCCACAACACTTTCTACCTTTCTTCAGTTTAACCTCTTCAGCCCTTTGTGGGACGACCATGGAAGCGTTTCCCTTCCCAACTTCAACTTGAATGGACTGAGTTTCTGAAGCACCCTTCGACTTTGAAACTTGTTGCTGCTGTTTTGAAGCATCTGTTGGTTCTAGGACAACTTCACTTACGACAACCTCGTTTTGGTTTTCGTCACTGTCTTTTGTAATATCTCTGGCCTGTGACTCTTCAGAATCAACACTCATCAGCAAATTGTCCGGATCAGCTATAACAATTTCGTGTCTAGTTATCGTCGAGTGCGAAATAATATAATCCGCTTTCTGGGACAGTTCTCCCTCAGCGACGAATGGATTTTCAACATTTTCTGTTCTAAAATTTTTAAAAAATTATTTTATTTTTTGTTTTCGTTTGTTACGCTTTAAATAAAAGTTATTTGAAAATTAAGTAAAAAAAATTAAAATATCTACTTCGAAACCACGACAGAAACTTCATCCGCCATTTTAAAAAAAATAAATTTTAAAAATGCAATCGATTAATACCAACACTATAGTCCATGACCTTATATTTAATAATCTAGACACATGATAAAAACATACTCGTGCAAAAAAGTAGTATATTAAAAATATACAACATTAAAATAAAAAATTCTGTCTATGCACTTGACAGTAATGAACAAATTACATACTTCAACTTCAGTGATGATGGCAAAATATTGTGTGTAACACGTTTATCTGCTGCCAATCATTAAAAATTTATTTTCTTTGAGGAAAGTCAACTTGTGTTCTTCTATTATCGACTTCTTGCGTTGGCGATCGGGTTTGTTATGAAGTTCTCGGCAAAGGCATTGTTGGAACAGCAAGGATGGAAAGAAGGTATTCATTTATTTTAATTAATTTATTATTGGGTAAAATCACGGATTTTATAAAAAAAAATTCAAACGGTCTAATTTCTAAAAAAAATTCATCACATCAACTAACAGATTTAATAATAGACTCATACATTTTTTAAATGTGTAAATTGTAAAAGCAAAGTAAACTGTAAACCGTAAACGTAAACTGTAAAAGTGTAAAATCACTCAAATGTAAATTGAAGTAAAATGATTTTACATTTATTAATTTTTTTTATTTCCTTGCTGATCCATAGTATGATGATGATAAAAAATGGACTTTACTTTGTTTAATTTATTAATAATTTAATAATTTATTTAATTAAATTTCAATTTGGGTGTTGCTTTTAATTTAAAATTAGATAGACTTATTTATATTTAGACCTTAATAAGTCTTTATCTTTTTAAATGCAAACCAAATATCATAACATGATTTAATTTTTAATAAGAATTTAAAAATCTAAGCATATAAGAAGTCATCATAAAAATAAGACTGCTTGCTCTACTATGGCATGAGATGAAAAATTTGGTCTCTTGTTTTGTGTTACTTATCCTTTTAGAACTTTTTTCTCATGTATTTAAAAATCCAAGTATTTACTTAAAAAAATTGCTAGGACAGGGATTAGGAAAGGAAAAACAAGGGATTAAAGATGCCATCAAAGTAAATGTGAAGAACGACAAATTTGGGGTTAGTATTTTTCTATATAATAAACTTTTCATTTTTTATATTGCAGAAATACTGCAGGACGTTGATTTCATAACCCTATCTAATAATATTATCTGTAGAGTATGTTGCTTTTAAACAACATTGTACATAAATGATAGGGCATTTCCATTCAATTATTCCTGACAGGTAGGTCATGATTTAGGTGAAGAGTTCACTTATCACTGGTGGGACCATGCCTTCAACAGAGCTGCCAAGAATATTAAAGTGTCAACCTCTACAGATGTGATTGTTCTTTTAATTACTAATGATTAGATACAATTGCTTTATTGTAAACTAACATGAAAATTATTTATTTGTGTATGAAATAAATTTTCAAAAATATTTGCACTTGAGCTCTTAATTCTTTTTAGTACCTTTTTAAATATTTCAATTTGTTTGGTTAATGTACTAACTTCACTTGAACATTTTTAGGGTACTATTCAGTTAAGTAAAGAAGGTGAAACAACAGAATTGAGTACCAAAAAGTTGAGCAAAAAGTCCAAGAAAAATAAAAAGGCCAACAAATCTGATGTCTATAAGAGTTTTGGAAATTTTGTGAAAGTCAGTTTGATGTTTAATTATTTTTTATAAATATTAATAGATTTTAATGAATGATAATTATTATTTACAATAATTTATTCTCAATTATTAACAAATTGTATTGTTTCCTGTATATTTTTTGTAGGCGGCCACATTAACAGATGGACAACTCACTCAGCTCATTGATGATGATCAGGATGATGATGAGGAAGAGAAGGAAGATGAGTCTGGTGCTGTTTCAAAGTATTTCCTATTAATTTATTTGGTGCCAGTTTTTAATAAATGAATTTGCCAGATATGCTGATTACCTTTTTTAAATTAATCTTAATTCACTTTGAGTTATACAGCTCAAAGTTTTTGTTTGTTTCATTTAGTTATTAGTTCAAAAATTGTTGCCCCGATTTCAGTTATACAGATGAAGAGTTGTTCAAACTATGTGGAGGCTTAACTGCCCACAAGTTTGTACTTTTTCTTTCCCAAATATTTTCAATTAGTGTGAATTATTTGAATATATTAATTTTATTAAAATTATTCTTTGTTTAATGATGGATAACCAACCATATTGAATATACGTTGAAATAATGCCAATGACTTGAACAGAGGTGCAAGACATGGAATTAATTTGAAAGGAAAGTTGGACAGAATAAATGAGCAAGAACGACATCATCATCAGCAGAAGAAGCAGAAAGGTTCTGGCGAATCAGGTCTCAGTACAAGTCTCATCACAGGTCTCAGAACAGATAATAACTCTTTAAATACATGCATTATGCCTGAAACTTTTGTATATAATGATGAAAATATCTGTAAAAAGAAGACTAAAAAGCATAAAATGAAAAAATGTGACAGTCTCACCGATAATGATGATGGTGGTGTGGATGTGTTAGGTGTAACTGAGGGAACGAAAATTGTGGAACACAAAAATGTTGATTCAACGATAGACAGTGTTTGTCCTGCTGATGATGTTAACAAACCAAGAAAGTCTAAAAAAAGAAGAAAAAACTCTGACGCTGATGCTCCAATCGACTGCATTTCATCTACCCAGGCAAATATTGACAGAACATTGTCTCTTAAAAAGAAAAAAATTTAGATTGTATTAATCAGTTTTTGTTTCTTTAGGATAATATTAGAAAAATTTTTTTTTGTCTTCAAATTGTATGGCATATAATTTGGGAAGTGTTTGAATAGTATGTTATACTTCTGACTTAGTATTTTTGTTCGTACGTTTACAATCAGCGATATTCAGCTGATGGAGTCACGCGTTCAAAATGTTCTTACGTATATTCATCATTCCTTAACCGATTAAACATAGTGAAACGTTAGTAATTTAAAGGAGGAATGATAATAAGGTGTGCTGTCGATTGATCTGTTGTAAGGCAATTTCGAAGGTGAGCTCTAGAATTATTGAGTTTCTAAATAGTTCGAAAGAGATTCCAAGAATTATCGATCGAGTTGATCACAAAATTAATACAAAATCCGTTTATGCTAGCTCACGCAGCGAAGTTAGTGGAAATTATCAAACGACGTTAAATTTGTTCTTCAGTCTTTCGATCCTCGTTATACTTGTGCGTATTGTGCATATACAATGTGTGGAATTCTTCGATGCATCTATTAACTATTCGTGTAGACATCACGCCATTATCAAGAATGATGAATACAGATTGACAATCAAATCTGAATCATTAAACATCAATATTTACGGCTTTTTTGAACATACGAAAAAGAAAGTGACTTCCATCCATTAATTTTGAGTTAGCCAACAGTTATGACGTTGGAAATCTTCGAAGAAGTTGCACAAAATCGGTTAAGGGCTGTGCGTTGTTTTGCTATTAATTGAAATATTCAATTGTTAGATTAATTGAACTTTTACCGTCACCATCGTTCGTGCAAATGATTTTCAAAAAGCAAAAAAATACAATTTGCTGCTTTATAATTTCAGCATGAAAATTTTTTGATGAAAATTTAAAATCTTTTCGATACATCGGATTGAATAGTAAAAAATGTGGAGAATTTTTAACGTGACTCAAAATAATCGAGTGACATTTAGGTAGTGACGCAGTTCGTTTCATAGCAAATGAACCGTTTGTTGCTTTTGTTAACATGACAAGTAACCATTTTGATGATAATTAAATTATAACTCTCCTTACTATAAAATTACGGGTTTTAAAGAAGATTTATCCGTAATCTTCAAAACTTGAAATGTTTATTTATTTGTCGATTAGGTTTTTAACTTTTTCAGTGCATGTTTGATCTTTAACACTAAACACAAATTTTTTATTTTAATACTTTCTCTCTCTCTCTCTCTCTCTCTCTCTCTCTCTCTCTCTCTCTCTCGTCCTCTCTCAATACACAACAGCGTTTGTGTAATTGTGCTATAGTATAATGTTTTATAGTAGGTGTTCAATATTTATTCTATGTAAACATTATAAGGAAATTTAAGCTCCGATGTTGGAAAACTTGTGGACATTATCATACTTGCGCTTGTATTCTCGTGCATGAACAACAATCTCCAGCGGAGAATTAATTTGACACGTTAAATTTTAAATGATGAACGTAGCAAATTTTTTCGAATGATTATAATATGGCACCAGGCAGCATGCAAACAGAGAACTCGAACATTCATCTCGATAACATCCAGCCAGCCATATAACTACGTACATTGTACTTGAATTACGTAATAACCTAACAGTCTTCGTAAGGAAAGAATACACTGTTACTTAGATGGGTGATGACTAAAGTAAAAAACTCACTGTTCTCCAAACAATGCAAACATCGCACAAAGCATGCACAGATACAGCCAGCTATGCACAACACAAATATAAGACACAATAGTATATGTGTGTATATATGGTTACGAAATATCACTTCATTTTAAGCTTTGATCAATTCAATTTTTTTAATATTTCGTATCGTCTTTTTATCTCTTTTATAGGGAAGTTAAGAATAATGATAAAAATACAAAACGAAATATTGAAAAATTGAACCAGAAAGTCATCAAAGTTGTATATGTGTAAAAAGGCAGTCTCAGTCCTAATTAAGTATAAGTATGTGCATATGTATGTATGTATATATATATATATTGTATATATATATATATATATATATATATATATATATATATATATAGTATGTGAATATAATGATCAATTAAGCATGTGTCTAACCTTTGTTTCAAGAACAAACGTAGGTGGTGTGATTTGGCGGCAAGATGCGGTGCGAGTACAAACAAACAAACATACGCGTTGTCTTATTATAAAACACGCCTGGGCGTTTGCTAAACTTGAAGCGCATTATTACCACAAACACACAGACGCACAAATACTTACACACATATATACACATATAACATACCTGAACGTGTTATTATGGTTCATTCAGGTCATGGTTTCGTCATAAGTTTTTTTTTTAGAATTTATTTTATTTCCTCGTTAGCAAGCTATAAATTAGTGATGTTGGTGTACAAACAAGTGTATGTATTGAATGTACAACAGTACAACACATATCTATATTTATGTAAATGTGTGTATGTGTGCACGTTTGTGTGTGTATATGTGTTTGTATGTATGTTGGTGTGTGTGTGTGTGAGTGAGTGAGAATTAGTCAACATTTCAGAAATGACTACGTACGTGACTATGACTACGTAAATGATGAAACATTCATGTTAATGTTACGTGTGAAGAGTATAAAAGATTAAAGGTGCACTTAAATTCTAATGTAGCAGTGTAACAATGACTTTCTGTAACGTGTTGTTCGCTGTTGCTATATCGTCGTTATAATTATATATGCATAAATAACGCGTTGAACTAATGTTTTACGTCACGCAATTTATTCATAAATCAGTATATTATTCATAAATGTATATTATACATCCTTAATTAAATATATGCAAATGCTAACTTTTTTTTTCTCAAATTATCTTATAAAAGCTAAACAAATTCCTCAACAAACGCTTATGTTAAACGTTAGCTGGAAATTAAAAATATGCAGTTGTTAAGATAACCACTAAAACAATATTTTTAAAATATTTATACTAATAATTTGTATTGTATTGTATATACTATCTATACTATACTATCTATTATACTAAAATACTATACGATACGGTATAATGTAGTAATCATGCCACACTAATCATAATTATACACTAATCATAATTACACTGACTTAACGTCGGGGCGTATCAGACAAATGATTCATTTTCAGCTGAGTTGTTTGCTTAATGAATACAACGTGCAGTGATCTGCTATCACGTTCCTAAATGATTAAAAATATGTTAGCTTATGTCGGTAGATTTTAGTTGTCAAGTAACTAAAAATAAAGTTTTTGTTACTTAACTGTTGAATAAGAATGTCAAGCAGTTTAAATTTTTTCATAAGAAATGCATTCTGAAAGTCATTTTACAAAATTATCGATACTTAAAGTCATGTAATACTGTTTGATAAAAGTTGACGGCTCTTCAAAGGCCACTTTATGTCTAAAAAAACAGACGCTTTTTAATACCTACTTGAATGTCAAATTTTCGTAGTTTCGCGTTAAGAATTCTCATATATATATATATATATATATATATATATATATATATATATATATATATATATATATATATATATAATTTGCCTGTTGTTTACTGTAGAAGACATGATTGTTCCTTCTGTCACAGTAACAATTCGCTCTTTCGTGGAAGCAACGGAGATGAGCTACGAACAAATCACGTCTTCCGTAGTGAACAACGGGCACATCCTCTACTTCATATATATATATATATATACATATAAGAATTCTTAACGCGAAACTACGGAAATTTGACATTCAAGTAGGTATTTCCTGTGTGTGCAGTGTACAATGTCGTAGTGTCTATTTATGTGAACATTTTAAAACTCGCACCCACAAATTTTATTTCGCAAACTCCTCTTTGTTTTGTTCTAAATTTATTTTTTCAGCGCCAGTCCTGGTTTTCAAAAGCCGTTGACGACTTGACGACACGTCGTTTATTTTTAATGTTTCTTTTTGTCTGAATTGAATATAAAAGATATATCTCTAATCAATATTTAATCAAAAAGAATATACAAATTAATATTTTTGTTTTATTTACAGAAAAAATATCAGAAAAAACGAAATAGAAACAGAAATCTTTAAAATCCATTGAAATTGTTCACCGAATGAAATTTGAAAAAATTCTCAAATAGAAAAAAATCATCAAGAGTAGAACAAAGAAGAAAAAAAACCATATTCGAAACGTTTCAACAAAAATTAAATCGATGATGAAATGATAATATTCATCATAATACACTAGGCAGGCATGTTCTCATCTGATTTCAAAGAAGATTAAATTAACGGTGATTAAGATTATTATAGAAGATTAACGGTGGTTATTTATTACAATTAAGACAGCAACTTCAATGTACTTAATCTGTTTAAACATTTGACCATCTAGTGTTATTTAGCATAGTTATTTAGTATTCACCAAAAAAAATTTTCACATGGATGACATTGGAACTTACGATTATAATGTAATACATGAATAATTGATCGAGCGAACTGAACACACTGATAATGAGCTAAATGACTGTTTGAACATCATATTACCGATTATATTAACTATTTAACATACGATAATATTTATTAAATTATTATTTATGAATATTTATTTATTATTTATAATTCACAAAAAACGAAAAACAGTTATTTTCAATTTATTTGGTATGGCGACAACAAGCTGAAGCCTGTTTCAACAGGAAATACCAGCACTTCCAGCTGAGTGCAAAACTTTCAAAAACACACAGACAGATAAACGCATACACGCACACACACACAAACACATACATATGAACATACACACAAACACATACACATGATATTTATGAAATACATAAATTGTGGAATACAATATAAGCAGCAAATAACACATTTATAAGATCCAGATCTTTGCAATACGTGCGTAAGTGTAAGTGAAATTGAGTGAATGAGTGAAAATGTAATTATAAATTGAAAACCTTTTATATAACTGAACACGAGCAAAAAACAAAAAAAAACCAGGCCTAAAACAATTTAAACATCAACAACAACAACAACAAAATTAACAATAGTATT